CATTCCTACATCCAAGTCATAACCTCGTGAGTTGAACCTATGGCCGCAGTCCGGTCAATGTTGTGCCGTCACCCAGTCCACGACATTCATTCCTCGGGATTCATTACGCTACATACAATGTCGTTATCTGCACTTTATATACAAAACAATCTGGCATCCCCCTTTGCTATCCTTACGACTTTCGTATCATCTTCTTTAGCTCTCGACGCCTGTCGATAATCTCACAGTTCGCGACAACTCTACTTCATACATGATCTAAATAGAATTCGACACTTTATTACCCTTCAAACCACTACGACACTGTTGGCGGATATTTATTAGGCATTCTATTGAAAAACCCATACTCCTTTCACCCATCCCATCCCATTTCCTATGGTTAAAATGTTGCTATTGTGGACACTAACACTTCTCCAGACCATACCTGTCCTCTCGTTCCCTATCCAGTCGGTAGTGAGAAACCGAACAGGAACCTTGTTCCCAACGCCTGAAACGCGAAATTCGGAACAACCTATAACTTCGGCAACACCGACCCCCCAGCGTGAGGGATATCAACCCGTTGATGTTGTCACGGCCACAGCACCTTCAGCCATCGTACAGATACCTCTCCCCAGTTCCAATACTAACCCAGATACAGTTGGCTTTTTTGTCACGAGTCTAGAGACTGGTGGGAAAATAAATGCTTTTCCCCTCCTGACAAGCTCGATTCCCAGCCCAACATCTCTCCTTACACCCGTCGGGGTTGCATTGAAAATGTCAACCGAGCCTACGAAACCGATTGGCACGGCTGCCAAAAACATCTTCGGGGCGCCCGTTTCCAATAAAAAACCGTCGTCAGTATTTGAAGAGCAGAAAGACCATCCCGTACCGCGCCTTGGGATACAAGGCCCCGGGCCGTATGGTACCAACAAGTTCCACGCCAGCTTCTTCCTTGGCAGCCAAAGCTCACCAGCATATGTACACCCATATGCATTATCATGGTCAAAGGGCCAGGGTTCTGCGTCCAGCTGGGGAATGGCGATATCACATACCGATGCTAGCCAAAGAGTTTATGGCGAAACTCAACCCGGGACGGGGGCCGCGAAGTTTTATCTGAACCCTATTGGGATTCAGTCTTTGTGTCTTTCGGCCTTGGAGCTCGGGTCTAATACTGCACTGACAACGGATAACGTCAATTCACACACAGCCAATGTCCACCTGCATGTTGATTCCAAGGCCAAACCGATTATCACCTTCCCGATGGTTCAAGGTATGGGCTTCGTGACGGCAGTATATCAAGATGCCACACCTGTGATCGATACGGGGGTTTTCTTCAAAACCGTCACAAGATCTACCGTGGGCCCTCAGCCGGGTATCACCAAGTATACCATGTACCTTGAAGATGGCACCGTTTGGCATGTGTATGGATATTCAGCGAAAGGCGATCCCTTCGACCTGACCATTGTTAGCAATAGCAAGGCGATTGCCGGGAAGCCGTTTACTGGATTTGTCCAAGTTGCGAAGGATCCCGGCAATGCTGAGACCTTGATAGATGCGGCATCCGGAGCCTACCCCGTCGGCATGATGCTATCAGGCACTGCATCGGGGTGCAAGGGAACATATACCTTCAAGTTCCAAAAGGCCGGCTTGCCCAACGTCAAACTGTTGATGTACGCCTTACCACATCATTATGAATCCTTTGATAGCATAACAACCAAGGCGACATCCACGATAAAAATGCAGACGACTACAAAGGGCATGGCGATGGCTGTAATCGCAGATTCGTGGACCATGGTCGAACCGCGTATGCCTGTTTCGATGGGATTCGCGCCATGGGATCCTGTTCAGGGCCCCAAAAGCGAACTCTCCGACTCGTCAATTAACACGATTACCCCCGTTGCATTGCAAGAGCTTTCCCAAAATATGGACCAACAGTCAAACCAAGACTCAATGTACTTCGGCGGAAAGGTACGGATCATGACCCCTTGAAATACGGACGGCCTCACTGCGGTAACAAGACTAATTACACTCGTAGGCGCTGGCCAAATTTGCGACGATTTGCTTCACGGCGAACAACTTGCTCAAAAACCCGAAGCTCGCTCAAGACGGGTTGACAAACTTAAAGGCAGCCTTCCAACGGTTTGTCACCAACAAGCAACAATTCCCCCTGTACTACGAATGTGAGTTTTGCTTTTTGCAGCCCTATCATAGCACGGCTCTGACGCGATAAAGCTGCTTGGGGTGGACTCGTCTCCTCGGCGTCTTACAAGACTGGTAACAGTGGCGCCGACTTTGGCAACACGTTCTACAACGATCACCATTTTCACTATGGCTACTTCATCTACGCGGCGGCCATCGTAGGATACCTCGACCCTTCTTGGCTAACACCCGAGAACGTTGACTATATCAACACGATGGTCAGAGACATTGCCAATCCCTGCGCATCCGACAAATATTTCCCAGTATCCCGAAACTTCGATTGGTACCACGGTCACAGCTGGGCTCACGGATTATACGAGACTCTCGATGGAAAGGTAAGTGAATAATAATCTCGGTCGATAATTTGGTAATCGTCTAGGCGGCTAAGCTTTATGGATTAGGATCAGGAGTCGAGCTCAGAAGACGCCATGGCTGCTTATGCGATTAAGATGTGGGGAAGAACTATCAAAGACGCGAATATGGAAGCCCGGTAGGTCAGACCTTTTCACTACTCCTCTTTCTTGTAATAAAAAGAAATAATCATTCTGACGCTAGACTGCTGACATTGTGGATAGGGGTAATCTGATGCTCTCTGTCATCGCGCGGTCGCTGAATCAGTACTACCTCTACACGGCGCAAAATCAGGTGCAGCCGGCGAACTATATCGGCAACAGGGTGGCGGGCATCCTGTTCGAGAACAAGTGCGACCATACGACGTACTTCGGGGCCAACATTGAGTATGTCCAGGGCATCCACATGCTGCCATTGCTGGCAAACACCAAGTTCACGCGACCTGCGGACTTCGTCAAGGAAGAGTGGGAGACGTATTTCGACAAGGGGCGCGCCGACAAAGTCGAGGGCGGCTGGAAAGGCATCTTGTACGGAAATCTGGCGACTATCGACCCGAAGACTGCATGGACATTCTTCACTAACAAGGACTTTAACCCGGGCTGGCTTGATGGGGGCGCATCGCTTACTTGGTACCAGGCATTTTCTGCTGGTAAGTTGTATATACGGTGGCGTTTTGCTTCTACCTTGACTCCTTTACCGAGTGCTAGGAAAAAGATCATTTTCTAACGCTTTTTGGACAGCTTTCATGTGACCATCCCGTGCCTTGGCAGATGGTGAGCGTTTGCGATTCTTTTTGCACTTGGACAGGTTATTTGCGACGATACTTATCCTTTTGGTATATAACCGGGTAGGTGTTTTGGAGCGTGATCCTTCCCCTTTTCTTCTTCTTCCGAACTAAAATATATTTTGGAGGATTGCTACTCTCGGGTTTTGTTCTACCTTACCTTCGTCACTGGGGAATGGAGAGTTAGACTTGCTTGTACGTTTAGCTGTAGTTTGGTGGTGAAATTGGCAAAGAGTCAGGCGGACAGGCGTTTGGAAATTCTTACCGCCCATTACAGGAGGTTGTAATCATGATATGGGCTTGTCGTTGTGTCTGGACCTAATTGAAATGCATTCCAAGGGGTTATAATTACCTACCTAACTACCTATGCGCTTTGTATTGATGTGTGTCATGCTATGATGTCGTGATAGTGGAGGTCTGAAGACTTGCTCGAGCCCGTCTCTGGATTCATGGGTTGGCCTTTTCGTCTGCGTTCACGACATGATATTTAAATTCGTAAGGAAACCCCTTGAGTCGACTTATGAAAGCACTCTTTACTATGTAAGTGTCATTTGAAGTGATTGGGAATCAGATGCTGGAGTTGGGTATTAATAGTGTAATATTGGCGGGCTTATGTTGAATCCGCGCGTTCGCAGTATATCCGAACTTAATTTTACCCCTCCAAATGTTTGTCCGGCCTTCGCAAGAACCAACCAATCCTTTTTTGGTTTCGTCACGAATTCGCCCCCAAACATCAATTCGACTACTACCTAGTACGATTTGCAGATAACGCTACAGACCGATCGGTTTATTCATTTATTCATTCACTTATTCATTCCAGGGGCAAAACAAAGGCGAGGAAGAAGACCAATCCCGTCAGAAAATGACCGAGCCGGTACCAGACGCAAAACAAACCCCGAAAATCAAAGCAGGTCACCATGAAGGGTACATGAGGCTGGCGCTGTCCCTCGCGACCAAGTCGCCCCCGAAGCCGAGCAACTACCGGGTCGGCGCCGTCGTGGTGGACACGGAGAGGAACGAGGTGCTCGCGACGGGCTACACGCTCGAGTTACCGGGCAATACACACGCGGAGCAGTGCTGCGTGGAGAAGCTGGCGCGCAGATACGCCGTCGCGACGACGCAGCTGGCCGAGGCGCTGCCGGACTCGGTGGCGCTGTACACGACGGTGGAACCGTGCTCGCGGCGGCTCAGCGGCAACGTGCCCTGCGTCGATAGGATCCTGGCGGTGGGCGCGCGCGTCAAGACGGTCTACGTGGGTGTGCAGGAGCCCGAGACGTTTGTCAGCGGGAACTCGAGTCGGCGGCGGCTGGAGGCGGCGGGGATTGAGGTTGTGCTGGTGGGCGGGTTGGAGAAGGAGATTCTCGAGGTTGCGACTGCTGGTCATGTGAAGTCGGCTTCGTGAGGATGGGAAGCTTTGCGATGTGAAGCGAGCGAGCGAGATGCGAAAAACAAAAGATAAAAAACCTTCGGTATGAGCAGTGTACTTAGGCTGCTGCATAATAATAGATGACCTAATGTTTGTTTAACGTGCAATGTCTGAATAACTATCTACGGCCTGTATTGTAGTTACCAACCTGAATTGAATTTATCATGTTCACTCCGCCTACCCTAACCTAATTTGCTTTGGGGAAAGTACAGGTGGGTGATATACTTAGCTAGTGTACCTTATCCCCAACAAGCAGCAGTAGCTGCCCGGTTAGCTCAATCGGTAGAGCGTGAGACTCTTATGACACGAGATTAATCTCAAGGTTGCGGGTTCGACCCCCGCATCGGGCTCAATTCCCGATGCTACCCAGTTCTCTGGGTTCAGCAACGAATTCTTTTTTTTTTCTTTTTCTTCCTCCATCCCATTTTAATTCCTAGGTGGTGGTTTCCTTTGACATTTCCTTTTTTTTCTTCTTCCGCTGCGCTGTGTACAAAGTACACGAGCCTTCCTTTCTGGATTTCCTTGAGAGTGTCTAAACAAACACACGACCTTCTTTTTACCTTTTTACATGCCAGGCTAACTAACCGGTTACCTTGTCGCCTCCTGACCAGCACTTCGTACTTTGCAATCCAATCCAGCCCATCGTGTTGTAAATAACGCGTTGTTACTCAGCTGAGCCTTACCGTCACCACATGATGGAATTATGTCGTCGCGATGCAACCTGGATGATGTTAGGTATTCCATCATGGACTTCCAACTGTCTGAGTCTGTCTCGTGGGTATCCTTTCGATGAATTTTGCACATTTGTACAGACACAAGGTCGCATATGACTGAACGGCGTTGGTGTCGCTGACTCGCTCTTCCGCATTGAGCGATGTAAATGCCAACTTAACCCGACCTGTCGTCCATGTGGTTGACAGCTAAGAAGCCTTCAGCAGGCCTTCAGCAAGCCCTCGGGAATTCGACAGTTACAAACTGAGAATCTAGTCTATGTCCCTAGCATTCACTCGGGGAGTTTCCTTTGTATGTCCGCCGTAGCCCGTTGGTGGTCTTACTACTGATAGCCACAAGTCAGAGGGTAGATTTCGTTCATGATACCAACCAACACAGACAGACTCCTGCCATAACGCCTCGTGAGCTTGCTGATGTGGTGGAAATGCACCCGGTTCGTGAAGCCGCTGACTGCGGAATCTCTATTTTCTGCCACTACAAAATGTCGTGTGTCTTACCGTCTCTTCCAACGGTAACCATTATCTTTGACGATATGCTCATCCTAGGCCCAAGACCGTCTTGATGATCCTTTTCATGTTGACAAACAAATACGGTCAGATGCCTCACTTGATCATAGATAGGAACTTGCTAGACGACCCTACTACCTTGTGGCCCAACTTATGAATGACCATGTCGGTATGTATGGTAGTTTGTTACAACTAACAACTACTAACGAACCAACCTACTCACTCACCTTACCAACATGGACGACTCTTCTCTGGGATCAAATCAAGGAGTAAGTGTCAGCTTCTTCTCGCCAACGGCTCTCTTCACGCCTATATATATATTTCCTATATAATCCATCATTTGCGCAGACTCTTTTCGACCTTCACAGCACGCACACTCACGACAAGCTTGCTTTTCTCTACACTTGCTTTGATAGCAGCTACTCGACACAATAACTCGATCCCACCTACCTAGGTGCCCTGCTGTTTCGGTACACATCGAATATACCCCGGTATGTCACCCCTAGACGTTTTCCATGTTCACTTTAAACTCCCTTAAGTCATCTATCTGTTGCTCACCCAGCTTCGTTCCCTGGCCAGAATTATATACAAAGTGCTCGAGAAGGTTCTTAACAAAGTTGCTGTGACAGGTGCTCTTTATACTGACAAAAAGCCTGCCTTTCAACACTTGAAAATCTGGACAATAAGCCATGTCTGGTTACCAGGGCAGAGGCCGTGGTGGAGGTCGCGACCGGGGCGCTGGCGGTGGACGCGGTGGAAGTGGTGGACGCGGTGGAAGTAGTGGGCGCGGTGGAAGCAGTGGAATCGGTGGAGGCAGTGGAGGCAGTGGAAGTGGTGGACGCGGTGGACGCGGTGGGCTGATTATGGTTCAGAAAACCGCAAGTTCATCCAGCATGACTTATAAGTCTGTATACCCGGAAAGCACCCTCTCTTTTTTGTTATCTATCCTAACATGTCTCTCAGGGCCGGCAATGCTTTTCCAAAAACTGAAACAAAGGCGCTTGAAAACAAGTACGCCCAGGAAAAGCTCGAAAAGAAGTGGGAAAAAACTGTGGGCGGCATATCCTCTCGGCCCGCCTTTGGCAATCAAGGCAAAGCTGTCAATCTCTGGACGAATTATTTTGAGCTCACTCTCGAGAAGTCCTTTCATAGCACCTTATTGAGTTACGTCGTGACGGCTACCCGGAGGCGTACTGGCCGAGACAACCAAGGGGACGACAAGACCGACGACAAGACAGCCGACAAGACAGGCGGAAAAAAGGGCGCCAGAAAGCCGACTACAGCAAAAGGCAAGAAGCTTGAGATTCTTATCGAATTGGCGGTGCAGCAACTTACGAAACCTGCCGCGAAATCCACCGCGAAATCTACTGCGAAATCTGCCACTCACAAATATGTCATTCATCACAAGGGCCAAGTGCTTACGCCGACGCCTTTTAAAGCACTGTCCAAGGATTCAGTTATCACGGTATCGTATACGGATGAGGGCGGGAATGACGTTTATGACGTGAAGTTCAACGACCCGACTACGCTTGACTTTTCGGCGCTGGAGAGGTGCTTCAAGATCATGAAGTCTATGACTACAGAGAAATTTCCCTACTGCGAACAGGCGATTGAAGCACTCGACAGCATCACCGGACACCACGCCCGGAGCGAACCTGGAGTTGCGACAGTAGGCAGTCGGCATTTTTCGTTGGCCGGTGGCGAGTCGCAACCATTGGGGTGCGGCAGAATCATTCGTGGGTTCTCGCAGAGTGTTCGTCCGGCTACAGGGTGTCTGCTTCTGAACGCAAACGTAGCCCACGCCATTTTCCAGCTTCACGGCCCTATGCGGCAAATATTAGAGGTGATAAAGTACGGTGATTTCAAAGCTCTGCTGTCGAAACTCTGGGCCGAGTGCAGGCAACTACCGGACGATAAGAACGCCAAAAACGCCCAGGTGTACTATAAACGGAGGATTATATGTGGTTTAGCCGACCCCGAGGATGGCAAGTATGAAAGAGACGAACATCGCCCGAAAGTTAAGCATTTCGGAGCCAACGCTCAGGATGTCAGTTTTTACTTGAAGGAATCCGAATCTAATATCAAGAACGGACTCAAGGGCGGCGCTTACTATACCGTGGCTGAATACTTCAAGAAGAGTAAGCGATACCCATCAGCGTGTGCGTTTGGATACTGACTGTGGCAGGATATGGATATGCTGCGGATGCCAAACTACCCGTGGTGAATCTTGGCACTGAAGCAGAACCAAAATATATGCCTGCCGAACTCCTCAGAGTCCCGGATGGCCAGGCTTTGAGACGACCGGCCCAGGGTGAGGAGACCCGAGAAATGGTCAGATTTGCCTGTCGCTCGCCTTATGACAACGCCACCTCCATCGCAGACAAAGGTCGGCAGGTTTTAGGCCTGGACGTCAGTAAAACCCTGAGCAGTTTCGGTATGACCGTAGCCAAAGAGTTGCTGGCAGTGCAGGGCCGCGAATTACCCCCTCCCTCCATTCTCTACCTTAAAGAATCAGGGCAACTGATTAAGACCAATGTTCAAGTTGATGACGGCGAATGGAACATGGGTAATGCCAAGGTCCTGCAGAAGGGTAAGAGAATCGAGCGCTGGTTCTGGATAACTGTTGCGTCTACAGCTAGTGACCACCAATATGACGACGTCTTAAAAGCAATGGGAAGCTGCATAGGCTTCATACAGTCCCAGGGTATTGACATCAACAGCAAACCTTTGTCTAACAATAACATCAAGGTTACGATATCACCGAAAGACAACGCCTACGCAAAGATCGATGCCGTGTTCAAAGATATGAATGCTCTGGCCCCTCAGTTCGTCTTCGTCGTATTGCCCGGAACGAAGACTGACCCAGTCATCTACAACGAGGTGAAGAGGCTCGGCGATATAAAATACGGGTTCCTCAGCCAGGTGATCCTGCGGCGCAATTTGTTGAAAAAAGACATACAGATTCAGGCCAACATTGGTCTAAAGGTCAATCTGAAGATGGGCGGAAAGAACCACGAGCTCAGTAAAGGGATAACCATGCTCAAAGACGGCAGGACTATGCTGGTTGGATATGATGTAACGCACCCGACGGGCGCTGGCGACAAGTCAAATTCCTCAAGCGCACCAAGCATAGTTGGCATGGTATCCAGCTGCGACAAAGAGCTGGCGCAATGGCCTGCTACGTTTTGGTGTCAGGAGAGCCGTATGGAAATGTTGGACGATGCCCTTCAGTCCAAATTTGCCTCACGCCTCCGGATCTACCATGAACGTAACGGCAAACTACCGGAGGCCATCATCATCTACCGCGATGGCGTGTCAGAAAGCCAGTTTACGATGGTGCTTGAGAAGGAACTGCCACTCATCCGAGCGGCCTGCAAGTCGCTCTACTCGGCTACTGCGCCGCCCAAGATCACCGTCGTCGTCTCGGTAAAACGGCATAACACGCGCTTCTATCCCTCCCGTTCCGACAATGCGGGCAAGTCTGGCAATATCAAGAGCGGGACCGTGGTCGACCGCGGGATCACGCTAGCCACTACGTGGGATTTCTTCCTAACCGCACATAAAGGACTTCAGGGTAAATCTTCCACAATTTCTTGTCTATTTGATTCGTAGCATCACTAACATCTAGCTAGGAACGTCTCGGCCGGCGCATTATACGGTTCTGCTCGATGAAGTGTTCCAATCTATGTCTAAGTCGCCCCAAGAGGCGGTCAACAACCTCGAAAAACTGACGTTCGAGACGTGTCATGCCTTCGGACGAGCCACCAAGTCCGTCAGTATCTGCCCGCCGGCGTATTATGCCGACATCGTCTGCACCCGTGCGCGTGCCTATCAACCAACCTTTAACGACTCCATGCCCCACGAGGTGCACAGGAATATCAAGGATTCGATGTTCTATATCTAATACATATATATCTGTGACGCGGTATCTAGATATAGGAGTGAGTATTACCTGAGTTGGGCGCGATGCGGGACGAATGAGAAGGACTTGGTTTACTGGTGCTGGTATTGTTGCATCCCTTTCACATCTTGTATGGAGGGGGTCCGGCAGCGCTGCGATTGAGGTGGAAGAGAGTCGCGATGACTTGAGTTATATTGGTTAGGATTTTAAG